AACCGATACGAGCTCGACTCGGAAAGGACGGTCTTGCTGCAGCTCACTCAGCCCTTGAGGTAACCACCTTTTTCACCTCCCCAATCATCTTCAAGAGTTGCAATAATTTGAATGTGCCCACTTTTAGTCCTACTGCAAGCCATGACACAGTTGGTTCGGGATCACGGGAATCTTCGGAGAGCTGTCGTCAACAGCAAAAACATTCTCATGACTCTCCTCACCTTCACGATGGAATTCTTCAAGACCAAAATATGGAGCCAATGCTGTGCTGCGCTTTTATTGGTGCTTCCTTGGCCACATCCTTCAGTGTTATTTCGACAGGTCTATGCAGCAGTACCTCAGAGTTTCAACACATCGGAGTAAACCACTGCTTTAATCATTCCAGTCCAGAGTGTAAAAAACCCCAAGATAACAAGTCACATTGAAAGTCAATCATTCTAAAGAAAAAAAGATCTTATAAGGCTTCAGGTCTCGAAAGAAATTTCAGTATAAAAATATTTCAAGTATGCATGACATCTCGAAACCTGCACTACTTTCCGAAAAACCCAGTAGTTGCAATACGGGACAGATTTTAGCCATAGCTATTCATACTTAAAACTTCTAACCATGACATTCGTTTTAGCCATAGCTATTCATACTCTAAATTTCTAACCATGACATTCGTTACGTACATACCTGAACATTGAGGATGCTCTCAACCTCGGCTTTTGCTTTGATAACGCTCTCGTCGCTGGTGACGTCGATCAGAACCGTATGTAGTTGACCGCCCGAAAGAATTTGATGACCGCATTTGATTAGATCTTCGCGACCCTGAAAAGAAGGAAATTTTCTAAGATGCTTGTGAGAATTCTAGCTATGAAAACACAATCGAGGTGGATGGGAAGCGTTGCAACGATGGATTACAGGCCTAGTAAGGATTAGCGCCCTAACCGCGCAATTTTTGCGACGAAGCTGGAGTGATCTAGGTAGGTACGGACCTTACAATTTCTCTCGCGGTATCCTTCCCACAAGTCGGAGCTAATCTGGGGTTTGCCTTTAACTATACATGGTTCATGCTTCAACGTTCTAAGAGAAGACACCTAGTTGTTCCAATCGACCTGTACCCCAGCGGTGAGTTTTGAACACATTAGCTATTCATCATGAATCATCACGTGATGTTGAAGTTCGTTTACAGACGGTCACGATTCGGCAATGATCGATCATAAGCTTCCCTACTTGATGTTCAAGTATTGATATGCTCTGGAACCCGGTCCAAACTTTTCTGGGTCATTCAGTTGCTATAGTTAAAAAGCATAAGTTTTGCAGCCCTAAGCATCCTAGTGAGGGAAGCCACACACCATACACTTCAACCGGAATCGTGCAGGCGGTAGTCTCTCGCCATTGGATGATGACGGATGGTCGGAAAAATGCATTCCACACTGTATCCATGGCACCTTATTACACAATATGAAGTATGGAAGCGAACTTGCTTAGTCCTATAGACCGGTATTTCTTGAACACCCCACCAAAACGATCCCGATATAACAACAGTTGGCGACGGTGCCAATCCGATGACGATGACAGCAGTGAATAGTGAATAGTAGTTTTGACTCTTGCCCACTATGCAACTGTGAGCCTACATTTCATTTGGCAGTGAAATAAACAATATGGTTCGAGTTTTAACTAGTGGGTCATTGCAAAGTACGGCGCATCCTCTAAGACCACCCTTCTCCTACCTCCTAACCATGGTTTGCCCAATTCGAGAAAAACTGCGATGTTTCACGCGATATTGCATAATGAACACCCCGTTTCTTCTGCGATACGCCGACCATCAACACAATGAAGCATGAAAGTGATTCTCTTATAAGGAGGATCCCTCATTTGGTGTTAAAGAGCTTACTGGCTTGCATTGCTGGCGCACAGTATACAACTTTTGAAGCAAAATACTAATCAAACGATTACGATTCTTGAGAGGAGAGTTGAAATGTCCAAGCCATTCCAATTTCATTGAACAACAGGAAGCCGTTTCGCAATTCCGAATGCAGGTCCAATAAGTGAAGCCAAACTTGACACTTTTCTGCTGAGCAGCCCCATTATCATCCTTTTGTTGTAACTGCACCAAAATCAAGACTCCAACACAATGACAGAAACTTGAAAAAAAGAAAAAAAGTAGATGAAGATTGGTCATAAGACGCTGCAATATTCAGTGAAAGACTCTAGAAAAGCCTCCTAGTCACGTACCAACGGATATACAGTAGCCTTTAAAACTGTTCGCCGAAACGCTTTTTCGTGATTTCACTGCTTTCCCCAAAGAAAGATTTGAAGATTGCTTTGGAGCTTCTTTCATATGCGAAACTTCTCGAGAGTTCAGTTTTCAAAGGCTTCAATAGGCATGCCATATTAATATTCGAAGGGAACTTTTGAGCGAATACGAACAAATAATGACAAACGATCCAGCACACTTTTCACGCGCAACTTGTACCAGTCACGTATGCCTCTTATCATGTGAATAGTATCCGAGTGATCGTGTGGTGGCAATGGCGCTGCATTCAATCCGGAGGATTCGGGGATCAAACACTGGGTTGGGTACCGCACAGCCCTTCGTGGTTTGCTGATGGTACCAGAAATGTGTGGAGGATTAAAACACCGACATACAAATTGGGTTGCCCTCGAATGATAAGCCATGCCAAATCGCATTCAATACCCAAAATTCAAAGGCAGAAGAAGCATGCTCATCCCAGACAGCGAAGTATCAAACGCCGAGCGCTGTGCTTCATCGATGTGTCGAATAATGAAGTGTTTTTGACTGTATTCCTCCAAAATAATTTACATTGTGCTTATGCTTGCGAAGAACAGGCGACGTGAAAGTCTTCGCCCTTATTTTCTTTTGGAAACGGCGTTTTCGTGGGATTTAAAGAGGCTGAAATTTTTATAGCTCGAATGACTCGAATTTGAAAAATTAAATCGAATTTTTAGGATAATGAAAATATAGCATAGATAGATGACTAAAAGAGGTATAAGTGAAAATCAAGTCGCAAAGAATTTGTAAACTGGACTCACATTTTCGGTGTAACATCCGGCGAAAGACGTTCACTCCCATTTTCAGTAATTTAAGTGCAAGTAATCGACCGAAACCGCTGTCACAGCCAGTGATGAACACATACTTTCCACGGTGATCAATGTAAATGTGCTCGAGAATGAGTCGTTTCAGAAGAAAGTAGCCGATTAGGGCATATACCATCCATAACGCTATAGATATCATTGACTCGGACGGTCGATAGGTGAATGATGGGCCTTTAGCGACTTCTCAAGAAACAGCTATTGTCGACAAGTTGCGGCGTTGTCCGTGATTGTTCCACTTCAGCACTTTTTACCTACAAAATCAAAAAACTCACTTCGAAGGTAAACTTTACAGTAAAAGTTGTTAATTCACAGAGATTGCGATTCAGCCTTTGCTGTAAGTGTAATGTACAAATTCACGAAATGGCGCTAGAGAGGTTTATCAGTCAGAAGAAGAAGAAGCGATTGTTAGACGGATTGGACGTAAAGTGCTTGTTTTTTGGTGCAAGTAACAAGGAAGACAAAGTCACCAACGAGGAAGAGTCAGTTGTAGAAAACATCGAAACCATGGCGAGATTCTCCCACGCCATTCAGACACAATTACCAGTCACGTGGTTGACTAGGTTACTGAATAGAAAAGGAAAAATGCATTTTTTTCGCAAAAAGATGGGGGCATATTCAGAAGGATTCTAAATACCAATTGTTTATATTCTGATGGTGACTTTATATGGATAATTTTGACGAGTGAGCCAAAACCTCGTTGAATCGTTCCTTTCTCAGATACCACTTTCCTCAACAGTACGTGGGAAACGCGTATGTAGTACATCGCCTCGAGTAGATATCACCCGATTTATAATTGACCAGAAAAATGGACGCTGCCGCCTTCATGGCTTCTTTCAAAATCGCAGAGCTACATACCTGAATACCTCTTAAGCCATTACTTTGTCTCACAGAGGCACGTAGCTTTCCTGGAACCTCTACTTTTTAAAGTCGCTATTTTAAGC